TAAATGTGGGCTACAGGACTAAATGTGGGCTACAGGACTAACTGTGGGCTACAGGACTAACTGTGGGCTACAGGACTAACTGTGGGCTACAGGACTAACTGTGGGCTACAGGACTAACTGTGGGCTACAGGATTAAATGTGGGCTACAGGTCTAACTGTGGGCTACAGGATTAAATGTGGGCTACAGGATTAAATGTGGGCTACAGGACTAACTGTGGGCTACAGGACTAACCGTGGGCTACAGGACTAACTGTGGGCTACAGGACTAACTGTGGGCTACAGGACTAACCGTGGGCTACAGGACTAACTGTGGGCTACAGGACTAACTGTGGGCTACAGGACTACATGTGTGACAGCAGAAGGTCAAAATAATGAGTCCTTCTTTAGAGGGATCAGTGTGCAGCTTGATAATCCTAACATCACTCACAGTTAATAAAAGTGATCTCTGTTGTGTATTTATACAGATGTGTGTATTTATACAGATGTGTGTATTTATACAGATGTGTGCAGCACAAAGGGTTAAAGGAAACTCCAGATTATTCTGACAACATATCAGTAAACAGTGTAATGCAGTGTGACAGTGATGTTAAACTTACGAGGCATGATCCCTTGACTGACGAGCTCCTCTCGAGTGCGTCTCTGCTGAAGCTTGAGCTGGAGGACTGCATGGAGACGGAGACGACAGAGGACAGAAGGAAAGAGTCAGTGAGCTGAGACTGGCCACCGTTCACAAACACACAACACCTCAGGTACATGTACACAGCGACATGAAGACGACCTGCTCTCTCAGGCAACATGTTCATCCTCTCATTTCCTTTTCTTCATCTGTTTCAAGTCAAACAGGAGGCGGTACAAAGTGGGCGTGAACAGACTACTACATACTTCCTGTTCTGGTTTCTCCCTGCGTGTACCAGGACAGTTTGAATATCTGCTGAAAATACAAACTGCACTGGTCAAAGGGTTCCACAGAAAAACTAAATCAGGACAATAAATGATGAGGTCGACTGAAACAAGTTGTTTTCATCAAGTCCACGCAGCATCTGAAGCCACTGCAGCGTCATTTTGAAACAGGAAGTGTTTGTTACATAATGCAGAAGTTTGAACAGAGTTTTAGAAACAAAGCTTGGCAGCAGATCATGTTTAACCTTTAACTGTGCAGTGAACAGGTCCCAGCTCTGATCTCATCTGCAGTAAAGTTAGGGCTCTGCAGGTGTCAAACATTCTTTACAGTCATGTTGTCTTCATACTGCAGCGTATTTTAAAGTATTTAGAGCAGGGTGATCCAGTCCTGGTCCTGCAGGCCTCCATCCTACATGTTGCACTGGTTTCCCTGCTTCAACATACCTCATTCACTAGCAGCATTTCCATTGCAAATGTGCGCAAAACTTTGTTGATATGTTGAAAAATATATATATATA